TGCAGCAGATGTCCCCAGAGGAGACCAAAGGCCACCATTGACAGCGTCATGTAGCACGAGCCCTGGACAGAGATCTTCAGCACCTGTTGGTACACATATTACATACATTACGGCTCACGTGCACTGTGCTGAGCAGTTCACAATGACACTTTCATGGTACCGACCTTGCGTAGGCGATCGGGGGAGAACTCAAGGCCCACCACAAACAAGGTGAAGAACACCCCAAACTCTCCCAATGTCTCCACCTGAACCATAGACTAGAAACACAATACAATACACAACAGTTATATGTATAAAAACTATGCAGCATCCCAAGTGTAATATAAGCAGTGTGAGCACTGGAAAGATCTAGAATGGGGAGGTACCATCTGTACCATCTGCTGGTTGAGATCAAAGATATCCCAAAGTGCTCACCTTGATTCTATTGAGCCCGGAGGGGCCGAGGAGGACCCCACAGATGATGTAACCAAACATGGTGGGGAGACCCATCTGTGTACACAGCCACCCGCAGGGAAGTGAAAGCATGACCACAGTCACCAAGTCCTGAATAACCAAGCACAGAGAACAGACACAGGTCACACATGTAGAATATAGATTGTAAATAAATGGTCTAGTTTGAGAGAGAAGGAACAATGCTGAAGGAATGCAGAAGAAACAAACACTCAGTTGGTGTGGGTCACAAGTTGTGGAGAACTTAACAGATTATGGAGTGCTGGCCTTGACAGGATGAGAGGAGATGTTAAAGTAACAGAAGATTAGTCTGTCTGGGGGTTTAGCATCTAAGCAGCATTGAAACTAAATTAAACAGGTGCTGTGAGTTGTGGTCATCAACATGCTTGATGTGGAGACCCTGATTTAGCAGCAGAGAGCAGAAGAATGTGGAGCAGACCTTGATGAAGTGATGGTCAGCACGGGGCATGGTGGAGTCCCGAGGCTTGGTCAGGACATACTGGTTGTTCTGGGAGTCGATCAGCATACTGAGCCCCAAGTTATCCTCCACCTCCCGCCTGGACACGTTCCTCTGAGAGTCCTCCTCATCCTCCTCCACCCGGAGCACGGCCTCCACGTTAACACCCTTCATCTGCGGACGCACAGCCGGCGGGGTGAGCGGCTCGGCAATCAACCTTCAGACTTTTGAAAACATCCTTTGCTGGGTTTGCACAGAAGACCAGTCCCACAACAAACAAGATCAACCAACTCACACCCTTCCCCTGAACAGAGATTTATCTGTTAGATCTTTCATCTTGCCTGTTTGTTATAATCGAAGACATGATCATCGATCTCCTCCTCCAGACGGTCAGCAGCACGTCGCACATCATCCAGGATCTCATCAAGCATAGACAGGGTCTTGTTTTGGTCTTGCACACTTTTCATTGCCTCCTGTTGGTGCTTCTCTGCCGCAATCAGCTCCACATACTCCTGCTCCTCCTGCAGACAGAACCATTGGCTTTGCATCCACTTTGTCTTCAAGTCAGTGAAGATCATCAGCTCCATGTGTATGAACCCTTTCTTTAGAATCCATATAAAACTTATACACACACCGGAGGCAACGAGAAACACACACGCACTTCTGTGTGTACATCATCTTAAATGTGCATACTGTATATCCTCTTCAGAGGACAAACATGGTAATGTGAACATTTTACCTGCAGGCGGCATAGCAGTAATGAACTGTGACAAAATGGATGCCACTTTAGGTCTCAAGAGAGACCCTGCTGCTGTACTTGAGAGGGTACTGAGCTGCATCGGAAATATTCATCGTTATACATAGGCATAAACAGTAAGCTTTTAGATATCTGCTAAACAGCCAAGAATAACATTAGAAAATACCTGCGTCTAAATGTTTAAGCCGTCTGAGAAATAGAGAGTTAAAGAGAATCTCCTCCATAATCTGGACCTACAAATAAGACACACGCAAACACGCGTCCCCCCTGTCATAGGCAGATAACGTAGTCAGCCGGACAAGTCTGTCTCAAGTCACAGATAATCAAGAGGGTGTTGCACCGTTTCCCTGAACCAGGGGCCCTCTTCACCAGAACATTTGCACTTGGGTCACCATTAAGGTTTGTGTTTTTGTCCCAGTCTGACAGACACCTCTCTATTCCATCCCTCACGTCAACATCAGCTTCCAAAGCTCTGTGTCTGTGGCATTGGCTCCACCTTCAAGCCAATTTGAGGACCCCTTCCAGGCTGTCTAGATGCATGCCTGTTTGCCCCTTCCTTACCTTTATGGCGGCCTCTCTCAGGGCTTCGAGCCTCTGTCGACTGCTCTCCTTCATGTTGACCACGTCCCTGTAGTCTCCCTGCAGGGCCCGCTGGAGCCCAAGCACCGCCTGGAACACTGACTTCTCGCTCTCGTTCAGCTCTTTCTGAAAGATCTCCAGGGTGTGCACCTGGAAGAGCTTCTCTGGGTCAGAGAGCGTGCGGTCCCGCTCCACAGCGGCGATGGCAACGCCAAGCTTCTTCACGGCAAAAGTCTTCTGCCTCAGCAGCCCGGCCAGCCGCCGGCAGTGCTCCGCCAGCCAGCGCCGGCCCTGCGTCACTGCTGCGCCCTTCCCGCGGTGGAGCTTGATGGCGTGCTGGGCCACTTGTTCCTGCTGCAGTGCCCCCACCAGGCCAAGACATAGCAGTGCACACACACCCCACATTCGGTCACCTTTGCTCTTCGGCATTTGTTAGCTGAGGAGGGATGAGGAATGTTGAAGAACTACAAGGTCTCCTACATTCTGAAGCACACTGTTGATGCCTGTGGGTGCCAGAAGGAGTGGGTCAGAGTCCAGCATTAACAAGTTTGCTAAATTCAACATCTTCATTCAATATTCATTTGATGCACCAGAAATCCTCCCATAGTGAATTTTGCATGTCTAGGGGGTTGGCTTCTCCATGATGAATTTACCACAAATTTTGCGGGTCCACAATGGGAAAATGTCAAGTTTGCCAGATAGCCAGTTCAGCCCTTCTCTTAATCCTGGTATCAGCATATAATATATACAGTAGACCAAGAACAATCCATTAAACACAACCAAAAATATCTTCAACATATCTCCAAAGAGCTTGACTGTCCATACCGACGTTGAAAACGAAACGATTATATGTAGATTACACAAAAATTCTGACCGGTTTCGTACGTGTATGTATCACATGTTATGATCTTATCTGGAAATGTAGACAGACGCACTAAAAGTATTACCTCCCACCTGTTTTCGTAACCTGGGCGCACCTGACTGCTCAAACAATGAAACGGAACATGGCAAACGCCCTGACAAGCATTACAGCAAATGCCACTGGGGAGCCATCAAAAGCTGACAGACGCAATTTACGCCAATTAATTCACACGTAAAAATTGATGCGCGCGTCACTCCGTTAAACTGTAAGAAGGTTCAAGCAAATCCCGCGATTCAACAATAAAGTCAGCCATGAATTAAAGTTCCTTGCTTATGAATTTACTGTTTCTTATGACGACATACTTGTTTTTCCCTCCTCCAAAAAGAGTGAATACAACTACTGTAAGTCTCTTTCTGGTCAATGGGACCATTGTTCCGCAAAGCCGGTCAGTCCCACACTGGCGACAAAGTTAACTATCCAGAAGATAATACGGATACATTTTTTTAAGATTGGCTAAAACGCGCAGTTACGTTATTGCCATGCGTTTAACATATACTGAACCAATGCACTTTTTTCGATTTCTTGCGTTATAATATACACCTCCGCCTTCCTATGGGCAGTCATCTTTTCGGTGGAAACCCGTGGGGATCAGCCTTTCCACACAGCGAGGTATAACTACATTTTTAAATCTGCGGAATGGAGAAATTTGATTACATTTTTCAATGTGGCAAATACGCACAAGACGTAGTCGGCGAATAGCTTCATAGATAAAAATCAGATTTTGACGCGTAAAATACGTAATTTGCAAATACCTGTCGGATTTATACGGCGTCCACGCCAGCACCACATTCAAGTGGGCTAAAGGAGCTTTTTTGGTGAGATGCCACTCCTCCCAAAATGCGAAACATAGCCAGAAAGCCGCAGCCTCCCGTCTGACTTCCAGCACTGGCCGAAAGCCGCCGACTCGCTGTCTGACAGCTCACAGCTCCGGGACCCGGAGTGCTCAGGTCCGTCGCCAAAAGATGTCACTCGTCCGCAGGTACGCCCCGGGGATGGATCATGACTGTGGTCCTACATTAAAATCTGCATTAAAAATCGTGAACAGTTGTATAGCAGCATTCACCTATAAAACTGCATAAAGAAGACAAGAAATACAGGCTAACCGTTTTGTAGACTGTAGCTTCTCGAGTATCACAGTAACGAAACGTGTGTTTTTGAAGGTTTAAATTTAAGTTCATTAGTTGATGTTGAATTTCTTTTCTGTCTTTTCCTCCGAATTAAAGACTGAAAAAAATCCAACTTCCGCAACCAATCGTAATCGGGTCCCCCCCCCACAGCCTACTGGGATATGTAGTTTTCTGTGAAGCTCTTGGTATATATTTATTGGTCCATCCATCCATCCATCTATCCATCCATCCATCCATCCATCCATCCATCCATCCATCTATCTATCTATCTATCTATCTATCTATTTTTAAAGTGATAGATAGATAGATAGATAGATAGATAGATAGATAGATAGATAGATATATAGATAGATAGATACTTTACTGACACTGAAGGAAATTAAGGAAATTTAGTTTTATTTTACTTTGTTGTTGAAACTTACTGTCTATATCCGTTGGCATATTTTCTTGCATGGGTCTCGAATATTACAAACTTGAAACTTTCTATCCCTTTACACCGTTCTGTTCTTTTCTCTCCTGACTTTAAATATTTACAATAATAATAATAAAATAATAATAATAATAATAATAATAATAATATACTGCTAGTGATTCTGATGGTATAATAATAATGATAATTTTATTATTATTATTATTATTCAAAGTAAAACTACATCTCCCTGTTCTGGGTACCAGCCGTGCGCAAGCTCTCTCGTGCTTTAGCGCAGTTCCTAGTGGCCACTGCGCGTGCGCAGGGGAGCTACCAGCTATCAAGTTGGTCAAACAAGCGGGTGAGAAAATGGTAGGTACGATCAAAACAGTAAGCCAAACAGACTAATAAACCTCTGCAGCGGGCTGTAACGTGGGCCGGTAGGCTGGGGTGGTACTGCCGAAGGGCAGGCGGTACCGTGCGCGACGTGTCCTGCGCCAGCGGCGCACTGTCAGTGAGGTTTTTCTGTGCCCGTTTGTCAGTGCGAGGGGAAGGTCAGAGTTGATGGTATTTTGAGAGCTGACTCCTGCAGTTGCTCCGCACGTACCTTTCCCTTTTTGGTATCTGAGGGAGTCGGGACACAGGATCTGTCCGGCTGCGTAAGAAGGGTAACTGGGACGCGGGGCAACTGTCTTGCTGGAGCCGTGCGAGTAAGTAGGACAAAGAGAAAATTACGCGGAACCCCCACTTATTTAAAAACGCACAAATCGAACCCGCATATTAGCAGGCAGGACTGTCCCTCGGACCGGCGCAGCTGTGGATGCCGATAGCCGGAGATCTGATGGTTACCTTCAGTTTTGCACCATCACAATACGTGCATGGACGATGCATTGCGATTGCCAGCCCGTGTGATGTACTGCATCGGCTGGAGAAAGCCACTGCTTTATGTAATAACGCCATCAACGGCCAGATACCTTATCAAACATTATGGATTTCTGCACATCCGTGGCTTGCACATAAAAATGTGAAGTCAGCATAAAGTGAGGAACCAATTAACCTAGTTTTGGGTGCACCCATATCTTCCACTATTGAGTGATTGCAACGGTTTTTAACTATTCCTAATAAATCGGTTACGCATAAATTGCGTCGTAATATCTCGTAATGCATTTACACATATAAGCTGTTAGTTTGAGAGTTCATGTTAGTTAGGAGTCGCGTGGTTAAACTGCACACTTGATTCAGAAAGACTGGTTACTTTCCCGGCGTGACTCCGGCTGGGGGGACAGAAATGTCCTCGGCGGCCTTGATTTCATATGTTAATGTGCCGCCTATTCCTGCAGGATCAGCACGACTCAGCTGGGCGTTTCGATCAGTGCTGCTTTAAAATAAGCGGACCGATGTGCACAAGGCTGAGACTGACTGACCGGGTTAACAGCTTCATCACAGTGTCAACAAACCGGGCGCTTCTGGATGGACACTGGTTGATTAACGCCGTATTCTGCGCTGTGGATTAATAATATACAGGGGCTTGGCTTGACCACCGTGGTACGCACTGACATGAACTCCTCGGAGCTTTTTGCACCATGCAAATAAAGTGTGGCAACTGGAAAGGCAGGCAACTGTCAGTGACGACAGATCTCCTTGTCACAAATCTCATAAATAATGTCCAACGCCTATCTTCGCTTAACTGGGGAAAAAAGACTTTTCAGGTTTTTTTTCCTGTCAACCATACGAGCACTCTTCCTAAACTGAAGAAATGTTTTGAGCATTTAATCAGTCTTTAGAAGGTGGAGGGATGAAACATTTAGAGAGGGAGAAAGTGTGTATCTGGACTAATCAGAGGGTTTTGGATGGTATTACGAGGCAGATCCGCACGTTACAAAACACACAAAGGGGCATTTGTGCCAATTGCTGTGCTCATCCGTGTTTTTTTTTTTTGCAGCATAAGCTGAAGTCATCGCAGAAGGACAAGATCCGACAGTTTATGGCCTTCACGCAGGCCGGAGAGAAGACCGCCGTGTACTGCCTGACACAGAATGACTGGAAATTAGAAGTGGCCACGGACAATTACTTCCATAACCCAGACCTCTACTATAAGGAATCCATGAAAAACTCTGTGGATCGAAAGAAGTTGGAGCAGCTCTACAATCGTTATAAAGGCAAGTGGGAATCTGGAATATGCCTTAGAATGGGAATATGACACTAAAGACTTCTTGGTTCTGGTTGTTTGCCTTGTAGTTAGCATTCATGTTGGGGCCAGTATCATGAAGTGAGACTTGCTGGTTAGCTGGATAACTTCAGATTTAAGGTACCCCAGTTTAAATGGAATTTATCTTCATTCACTTTAATTTAGCCCAGACTACCTTAAATTTATCTTATTAAACCCAAAATCCAGCTTTGTAATAACAGGCCCCTGGTTGTTTATGGATGGTTGTGTGGATTTGCCCAGATCCTCACGATGAGAATAAAATCGGGATTGACGGGATCCAGCAGTTCTGCGATGACCTGACCCTGGACCCGGCCAGCATGAGCATCCTGGTGGTGGCCTGGAAGTTCAGGGCCGCCACCCAGTGCGAGTTCAGCAAGAAGGAGTTCTTGGATGGCATGGCGGAGCTTGGGTGAGGAGAGCCCAGGGTTCTGTGGCATCCCTCTGCGGGGGGCCCAGGGTTCTGTGGCATCCCTCTGCGGGGAGCCCAGGGTTCTGTGGCATCCCTCTGCGGGGAGCCCCTAGTCTCACGTAGAGTTCACTCTGGATTTTCAGACTGAAAGTGCTGTTTTTCAGTTTAATGGTACCTAACCCAGGCAGTCTAGATGTTCACAGAGGCTGGAAACTAAGCCGATAACCTGAATCTAAGTCGATAACATAACTGAGCAAAATCCCCCACCATTTAGAGGCAAGTGACCAATTGCTTATTTTTTTATTAGTAATTGCAGTTATTCATTTGACTAGTTGATTTTTTTCCCACTCCACAGAATGCAAATAGGCTGCAAAAATAATGGTTGTTGAGGCTTACAGATTTTTAAGTTTCATAGTTGTCTTATTGAAGGTGAATGCATGTCGCTGGACCATTTGCATGTATGTTGCTGGTCGAACATTTCTTTTTAAGGTTTTTAAGTGGATTTCTTTTGTCGTGACTCTTTCTCTCCGTTGTCTCCCCAGGTGTGACAGCACAGAGAAGCTCAAAGCAATCCTGCCCAGATTAGAACAGGAACTGAAAGATTCCGGAAAGTTCAAAGACTTCTATCAGTTCACCTTTAACTTTGCCAAGAATCCCGGACAGAAAGGCTTAGGTGAGCCATGGAACCTTCCAGAGAACACTTTGGGTGGGGCGGTGTGCCTTTGGACAGAGAGGTTTTACAAACTGTTAACTGCATATTATGAGGAGGGGGAGAATTGGGGAGTACGGGGGGGCGGGGGGTGCTGGCTGTTGTGGGATGTTACTGGTGACTGGTGTGCTGCTTCGTGACACTGGAGGCTGAGTCAGAGCAGGGAGTCTTACAGGCCTGTTGTTTGGACCCAGTACATGCAGAGTGCAAAGCGACGCTGTCACAGATCTGGCATCCTTAGCAGCCGGAGTGCTGGGCGTGGTGGTGGTTGAGGGTCCGGGTACCGAGCGTTCTGCTGCCGTGCCTCATAAAGTTGCGTGGACAGATTAGAGCCAGAACCCTCTTACCTCAGATGGAGAGAGCACTTCTTCCTGGCCTAGGTTCTGGCTCCAGGCCCATGGTCTAGGCGCTTTTTGTATTGTTAAGCTCAAAGGAGAGCAGCAGAAGCTGCTGATAGGACAAAGCCAGAGCGGGTCAATGCGAAAGCTCGCCCGCGACGATGAGGCTGTTCACCTACGATAACAGTTCTCAGTGCGACTATTACTGCCGCCATTCTCGTTTCAGACCTAGAGATGGCAGTTGCCTACTGGAATCTGGTTCTCAATGGCCGCTTCAAGTTCCTGGACCTTTGGAACAAGTTTCTATTGGTGAGTCTTTATGGCAGTAGGGCCATCGTATCAATCCTGGGGGTTTTAGGTTCACATCTCAAAAGGCAGGCTACAGTTGAACCTGTGGCAATGTACCTTTGCCTTATATCACCCCAGTGAAGCCAGAGTTTAGTAATTTACTGAATGTCTAAAGATTGTAGAACTATTGTTTTTATATAAATAAATGATATTATATACGAATATATCTAAACTAGTCAACCATGTTCTCTAATAATTTGTGTATTTCAGTGCAAAATGTTGGTTCTCTTCATATGTTGGTGTGCCGTTCTTTTTTGAAAAGGGTTTATCACCTTTTATAAGAATAGGGAGCTGTTTCTCAACAGCTTTAAACCCTGGTGCTGGGAGTCATTAAAATGGTAATTATGATGGCATAGCATTTGCATTTTAGCTAGAATGTAGTAACAGCTCTATACCTGGGAAGGGAGACCTGGGGTCTTCAGAAGGCGATTAGTCATTTTCCCATCCGTTGTTCTCTAATTTGAGTCAAATACTGAAAAATGATTCAAACCGTGAAGTTGGTCTCATGATATATACTGAAAACTGATCCTCTTGCACTAAATTATAAGTACAAAATGAGTCATACGTGAAACTAGGCAGCATTATCTACTGAGTGATTGGGGGTCACATCTGTAGCTGATCGAAGCCCTTCCCAGGGTACCTTGCAGGCACAGGTATTACTGGTACGTTCTCACCGTGCAGAAGTGATCTTCCTCCTTAACCTGCTGTTCTTCCTCACTTGTTGGCGCCATGCTAAGGAGCACCACAAACGCTCCATCCCCAAAGACACGTGGAACTTGCTCTTGGATTTCGGGAACATGATCGCCGATGATATGTCAAACTATGACGAGGAAGGTGAGCCACGGCGAGGCGCTCTTACCGCACGGTCAGCAGCCTGAAAGGTAGAAACCATGACAGACGAGGAAGTCGGGGGCGCGCTGTGACTTTAAAAATCAATAAGGGGCGGGACTTCCTCTTTGTGGTTTTGCCAATGGCATGACGGTCTTAAAAGTTAGCACTTTAGCGTTTGAAAATAAGAAAAGGGAGTCACTACTGATGCTTTGTTTATTTTTTCAATAGTGCTCCAGGCTACTGTGATATTGGCTAAGGACGTTAATTTGGCATAGTGAAAACACCAGGGGATGATTACTCATTCAGTAATACAACATGAAGTCATTGCTTTGGTAGGAAGTAATCTTTCAAGCAAAGCAGCAACATAACTGATCCTGTTTGTTGTCCTCCTCTTTCCAGGGGCGTGGCCTGTTCTCATAGATGACTTTGTGGAGTTTGCACGACCGATTGTTACTGGGTGCAAACCCAAAGCTGTATAATGACTGCCCAGCTCTGGCCCTAGCCTGTTTGTTCAGTTATTATTATAATTTTTTTTTTTGTCGTTGTTTGTTTTTTTTTCTTTTCTTTTTCAAAGACGGCGCTAAAAGGAATGGGGATTTAAAAAAAAGATTGAAGTCTTGAGACCATCTGTGAAGAGAGAAGATGGAGTCAAAACTACCAGACAAACCAATCAGGGAATACAGTGAGAGAAAAATGAAGGCCACGAGTTTGTGGTTTTTTTTTTTTATGATTATTATATTTCTTTCAACCAAACTCATCACAAGCAATCCGCAGCTCTTCCTGTCATCAACAAGAAGCTAATACATCTACCCTAAAACCACCCCCCCACCTCCAAAACACCCACCCGAGACCTCATGGGATATGCGTCGTTCTCAATTAGTTTCACCGGGGTTCTCCTCTGGGGGGGCCCCTACTTTCCCTCAACAGCCTTCTTTACTTTGATTTAAAAAACAAACAAAAAAAAAACGGAAGAACAAAAGCTTTTCTTGTGGCAGTGGGTGTATGATACAAGATCCGTTTTGCATGAGCTGTTTTTTTTTTATCCATTTTTACTTCAGCGTGATTGAAGGACAGGGTGGTGAAGCAGGAGCCACAAGCATTTGAGTTAATGGCACATCACCAGCAGAAACTCTTTTACTACAGGTGTAATATACTGTATCCATAGGAGTATATAGAAATACCTATCTATATCGATATGTATGTATGTGTTAGTGTGTATGTGTGTATATATAACTGTGTGCATGTGTGTGTGCGCGTGTGTGTGCGTGTGTGAATCGTCACACACGCACACACTTTATGTATAAGTATTAAAGTTGAATATTTGTGCTGTAAATTAAACCTTACATTTATCATGCTTCATTTCCATTTTATTTGCGTTTATGCTCCATTATTTTCCCGCCCCCACAATGGGAACGAGACAACTCCATTCAGTGTTAAATTATCCTCTCAGCAGTACTTTCCGGACTGGCGTTGAAGCGCCACGTTTTGGCTCTGGGACTGAGGCCTCCTCCGGTTGCTTCCGCGGCTGATGATGGTCCCCTGGCGCGGGTGCCAGGTTTCGTTCCGTAGCGACTGGGTGGTGAAGCAAGAGCTATTTTCGTTCAGTGAGTAACCCTCCCGCACAGAGGGGCCTGCCTGTCGCGTGCGGTGGGACCCAAGCCCCTGTGGATTCCCCTTGCATCCTCACCATCTTTTATATATTGTAACTGTTCTGGAACCTCGTTGTGTCTGGTGTGGGTGGAGTCACGGGAGTGACGGATTTTAAAATATCAACAGGAATCAGCCCTCATTGGTCCAGAATAAGCATGATGTCCTGAACATGCGCCGTCATTTCTAAACTTTTTGTACGTTTATCGAATCGAAACCGAAAATCTGTTAAGATTAATAGTCGCGATTACACATGGAGTGTGTATCTCTCGTGTAATCTGTGTACCTCGTGTTGATGGGTTGGCTGGGGAGTCCAGCTGTCCCCTCTTCCATCAGTGGGTCAAATGTCAACGACAAACCCAGATGGTGACGCCAGGGGATGGTGTTTTGCTGGGTCCCGTAGCCCGCTGGGTCACTACCCACCCAGGATTGGTCAGCGCTTGCGTACGATTTCTAAACAATCAGGATGAGAATTTTCGTTATTTTAAGCATGCCGGGTGATGATAGCGGATAGTACTTTCTAGACGGACGGGCACTAATGGGTTAGTTTTCCCATTTTGAGATTTTTGGTTTATTTCTCTATGCTGGGAATGCATTGAAAGGTTAGGGTCATGTGACCGCATGCGGAGTGTGTGTCAGGAATTGGACTGAGTGTTGACACCAATGTTGAAGATGCTCACGTTTCACTAAGGTTTTACCGCGTACCTGTGCACAGCGTTTCTTCCTGGCTCTGTCTGTGTGTGTGTGTGTGTGTATGTGTGTGTGTACGTGCGCACGTTTATGTGTGTTGTGTGTGCATGCATTCGCGTGTGCACTGAAGTTTGGCATTGCTCAGGGAAGCGGCGATACTGACTTTGAGCCTGACCTTGCTGCAACAACAAGACGACCACAAGGTGGTGCTGTGGTGTGGAGCTGAACCCACCTGGGATGCTCTTGCCTGTTCACACGCACCAGGCCTCAGGATCCCACTCACAGTGAGGTGTTTAGGCCTCCACGTGTTTTTCCAGCTGAGTGCACATCCGCTACCTGATCCTGATTCGTGGACAGGGCGTTGCAGCTGTTGGTTGTCGCTTGCTTTGGTGGGTTTTACCGTAGTGTCTTGGAGAGATGGGGCAGTACATCTCCTGGGGGGGGGTGTTACTGCTTTTGCAAATAAAAGTTCTATGAAACTATCACTGGATATTTTGCTTTATTTCAGATCAAAGGGTGCATTTCTTCATCTTATCTAAAGCGGCCTACATTTCCGAGAGAGAGAGTTACTGTCAGGTTTACTGGTGACATCCCTGTGTCAAGTCTGGGTTTAGAACAAGTAACATTCTGATCACAGGGACAGGATACAAACCCACTGAACCGCACACCACCACCATGGCTGTAGTTGTTTCCTAGGCCTGCAAACATCTTGAGACTGTTACGGACATTGGTCCAGTCAGGTATTATTTCATCAGTTAGTTGATCAGAAGATAGTATTATTCTGTTGTATAAACTACCTACTAAAGAGTTAGGTTTCTAAAAATGGTTGCCACCGTCTCAATGCATTTCTGTGATTTGCTGCTGGAGCAAATTAAACAGACACAGCTTTGAGACAGTAGGTAGGGGGGGTATTGAGAGGTATGTGTGACCTCTGTAGGGTGGGGCAAAGTGGGGGCAGGGCCTGGTTTTAGTCCTTTCTTGTGCAGCATGGGGTGGGGGGTCTTCTTCACTGACAGCTTCCCCTCTGGTGTGGTCCAGAGAGGATTGCCTTTTTAGGCGACACCCGATGGCAGGTCATAGCGCTGCAACAAGGGCTTTGTGATAACAGAGCAGTTAGGAGGGATTGAGAAGGGCGGGGGGGGAGGGGTAACAGAGCAGTTAGGAGGGATTGAGAAGGGCGGGGGGGGAGGGGTGCAGAGTTGAGGGCGGTGTGAGAGGTTGGGGGGAAAAAAAAGGAACAAGCAGTGAGACTACATAGAGAGTGGGCGGGACCCCAAATCCCAGGAGGACGAGAACCCACATCCACGCGTAGGAGCCTGGGAGCCAGGCTGAAGGTGCGAATACGTCGGCTGATAAATCGGGGGTATTTTGGAGCATCTAACCGGGGCGTGAGCTGGTTTAGGGGAAGCGCCAGGCCAGCTTTGGGGTGTCAGAAGAACGAGATGGAGAAGTTTCAAGCTGCCATGGTGCTGGGGGGTGTGGGCGACGCACTGGGTTACCGCAAGGGCTGCTGGGAAGGCTCCAGCTCCGGTGTGGAGATCCAGAAGGAGTTGGCGTCGCTCGGGGGTCTGGGGGCCCTAAGGCTGGACGGCGAAAAGTGGCCCCTGAGCGACAGGACGTTGATGCACATGAAAACCGCAGAAGCCCTCGTTACAGGTAAGGATGGGACACTGCATATGCCAGCAGGTGACGTCAAAGGCAGGTATGCTGGTCAGCATTCTAGAATCTACCATTGCTACAAATAAGCTTGGGGTGGGAGCTCTGTGTTTTTTGGGGTTTTTTTTTTGGTAGAGTAATATGAACTTCTGTAGGAAGAATACCACTTCTGACATTAGCTAAAAGCAGCCACCTCATAATGAGTAAGAGATGAGGCACACAGAGTTTGTTCCACCAGTGAAGGTCCCGGTTAGGAATGCTGCTGGTATAGTTTCACTGTTGTCTCCAGAGTGCTCAACCGTCACTGTCAGTGCCAAAGGCAAACATCCCTGTTATTCTGCCGCCTGAATCGACTTCAAAGTCGGCCACTTGAAATACACAGTAAGGGCCACCGGGATTAGGTCTCTGTTCATCCACATTCTAGCACAATCTCCGTCTAACAAATAAAAGAGAACCACACGGGTGGGCACCGGACAGGCCATGAATACACTCCTAAGAATAAAGGTGACAAATCCCCACTTGAAATGCCTGGAATTCGACCCATCTCACATTTGTCATATTAGCCTGCTAACTCATCTGTCATTTCACTGCACCTCTGTGACTTACCTCTATAGAATTCCTAGAGATTCTGAACTATTTGCCCTGTGCTGTTTTAGTGCCTCCACTGCATCATAGATATGTTATGGAATGTGAGCTTCATGCACGTGACTGGTTTATGTTCGGTGTTACTCATGGTGCAATTAGGGTGATGGGTGACCCTTTCACACTCTTACCTATAGTCCCCCTGAGATAGACCCACTCGAATCCTAAATTCTATATCTAGAATTCTGATTCTATATTAGAATTCAAAATAAGAGCCTCAATTCACAATGGCTGCCTGGCAAACAGGAGGGATCTTCCCCGGGTCTCCCCGAAGACCCCCCTCCCTCCTCTCGTTGTCCGGAAAGATCCGTGCCAGTGTCCCTGCACCTAATCTCCAGCAGGCCGGGCTAAACTTAGCTCCGAAGCTATTGCCTATCTCCAGGGAACTGAGAGGAATCCTGCTAAGACCAGGGGGGCTGTTGTGGCTGGATCTGATGTCACACCATGGTGTCGTAGGGCGTGCCCAGAAATAGATGTACAGTAAGTGTAAGAGCAGCACGTGTTTGTCTGCGTGTGCAAGTATAAGCGTAGTATAATTTCCAGTTTTGTCAGGTTGGGATTACGATTCATTAATTGCATAAAACTGAGAGCTTCATGTTCATCTCTGGAGGATCCAGGTGGTTTTTCTTTCATGACATTCATACTTGCATCTCTGTCTCGTAAAGAAATGAATAATATGGAGCCCTCTTGAAGATCTTTGGGAAATTATTTAGGTAACGCTGAGAGAATGCTAAGGGTCCCTGTTTCTCCCCCAGACTTCTGGTGTCTCGATGACCTGTATCGGGAACTGGTACGCCTGTACGTGGAGGCCATGGTGTCCCTGCAGGGACGGGCCCCGGACCCCAGTACCATAGAGGGCTGCTCCCAACTCAAGCCAAACAACTTCCTGCTTGCTTGGCACACACCTTTTAATGAAAAAGGTTGGGATTTGCTGCATGGACAAGTGATCTCTATTTTTATTTTTATCTATACACACTCCTTAATGAGAGTTTAACTTCCTCTCCATCTCTGTCTGTGTACCTGCCCTTTCTCCAGGACACACACGTATCTGCTTGCCTTGACTCGATGTGTTTGAACTTCTCGGCCTCTGTATCTCCTGTCTGAAGGTGATGGTCACTTTTCCTGTGTCCCAGGGTCAGGCTGCGGGGCGGCGGCCAAGGCCATGTGCGTGGGCATGAGGTACTGGCAACCGGAGCGGCTGGACAACCTGGTGGAGGTCGCCGTGGAGACAGGGCGCATGACGCACAACCATCCCACTGGTATGTTCTCTGCATGTTCCAACCCCCTGCTCTGGTGGGACATGCTTTCCAAGGCCACCAGGTGGCACTGTGTGTGTGTGTGGGGGGGGCCCAGCCATGTCTTTGTGCGGGTGACGTGCCTCATGTGCCACAGGCTTCCTCGGCTCGTTGTGCACGGCGGTATTCGCTTCCTACGCCGTACAGGGCAAGCCGCTGGCCCGCTGGGGCCGTGACTTCATGAAAGCTGTCCCCAAGGCAGAGGAGTACTGCAGGAAGACGATTCGACACATGGCCGGTGAGTCCTGGGTGGCAGCAGAAAAGCTTCTTTTTGGGGACAGCTTCTATTTCCCGAGGCACCTACAGACCTGGACTGCTGCCAATGGGAATCGCAAGAGGCTCCCAGTAACCTGAATTACTCTAGCTGTACAATAGAGTAACCGTAAACTGCTCTGGGTGACGGCATCAGCCATGGGACTAATTAGCCAGGTGTAAATGTACCCACACATCTCTCCTCCCCCAGAGTATCAGGAGAAGTGGTTCTACTTTGAGGCAAAGTGGCAGTTTTACCTGGAGGAGCGAGGCATCAAGGAAGAGAACCAGGACAAGCCACAGTTTGCTGACCGCTACGACCCCGAGGAGACGGACAAGGTCAGACGTGTATATGACTGTCTCAGTTCATCCGTGAAAAGCCACACTATCATGTACATACGTCTGAGGATCCCCACAGGTCCACAAAAAGAGAATAAAATGCCACAGATTGAGATGGGCAGATAGGATCCCCGTTTCTGTAGGCATGGGAATGCAATGCTCCCCAAAATACTTCAATCCCCTCCGCTGTTGACTAATATACACTTGGCATAGTTTGCATTGTTAATTGTGTCCATAGTGGCAGTTGAAAGTACACTTGTGTCTCTCCACCCAGTCTTTGGGGGGCCCCACAAAGTCCACATTTTTGCTCCCTCCCATGGAATGCCTGGTACAGGTGTGTTGGGAGCAGAGAGGGAGCAGAAATGTGGACTGCCTGGGGGTCCTGGAGGACTGGTTCGAGAACCATCGCCTTATCTCCAGGCTTTTTCTACTTGTCATTAACCCCCACCCCTCCTCAACAGGTGTACAAGCGCTGGAGCTCAGAGGGAAGGGCAGGACACCGGGGCCATGATGCCCCCATGATTGCCTACGATGCCCTTTTGGCCTCCGGGTCCGACTGGACCGAGCTCTGTAGGAGGGCAATGTTCCATGGAGGTATCGTCTGCTCAAAATACAGAACGCTAACACTGACACACGCTAGTTAGCCAGCTAGCCATAGCTGTGTGTGTGTGTGTGTTTGAGTGTGTCATAACCCAGCCTTCACTGCGGGTTCCAGGGGAGGGCGGAGCTACTGGTTCCATCGCAGGATGCCTGTACGGACTGCTCTATGGGCTGAACCAGGTTCCCGTCGGACTGCACCAGAACCTGGAGAAACGGGAGCAGCTAGAAGAGCTGGGGGAAAAGCTGTACAAGGCCGCCGCAGCAGAGAAGTAACACCTCTATTGCGGAACTGCTCACAGCTCTGCAGCTGCTGACAAATCGCACTCTGCCCCTGTACCCAGCATGCCTCTCTCTCTCTTACTGTGACAAGCATTCCAGTCTCCCCCAACGCAAATATTAACAAAAATAAACTGACAAAAATATTTCCTAACATCAAATGACAAAATACTGTATTGTATCTTTTATTATAAATGTGTGCTATTGATCTGCTACCACTACAGGGCTCCAAATCCTTCCTGACTGACATTAATTTTGGTGGTACTTTTGGTTTGGCTTTGTATGTTTATATTTAAGACATTTACAGATTGTGGCACGTTTTGCATTAACTGTGGAAATTAAACCTGTATTACCAATGATGTTTAATGCCTTCACACAAGAGCAAGGCCTCACTACAAGATTGTTATTTTACACTATTTCTGCCACTTTCACCTGGCACGATGGACACAATTAACAACGCAAACTATGCCAAGTGCAACATTAGTCAACAGCAGAGGAGATTGATATTGGGGGATGATACAATGTAATCATTTAAATGCAAAGATCTATTAATTGGCGGAATGAATGAATGCAAATTAAGTATTGGGGGGTACACGTCCTCCCCGGTTCCAACCCGCCCGTACACACTCGCAATATAGATTAATTGCCACCAGATGGCGCCAATCTAACAGACTTCAGTAAGTATGCTCAGAAGTATATAATGCAATCGTTGCGACACTAAGAAACATACGTTTGAGAATTAAACAATGCGATTGTGGTTATAATTGAAAAAAAGGTAATATGATGAGTTCTTATTGCTCTTACTGGTGTTTTGCGTCTTCCCGAAGACTTCATCCTTTATATGTCCTTCATGTGGAAAATAGTGTAAGGTTCCTGCATTCACAATGCTTCCGTATAACCTGTGCACTGACACTGCAGCATCAGATTAGCTCTGCGGTATATATGATCCTTAAATCACCTGATTGCCACGCAACACCGTGAACTTGAGCCCTTGGCTTTGCTGCACTGGCTAATTCTGCCCTGAGAATGACGGCCTTGGCCTTTAGCTTTGCTCTGTTTTCTAACTGCCTTCAGCCTGATTCAAGATGATCATTATTATTGAATGTCAACAGACACAAAGTTTACATAGCCGTTGAGCTTATCTGACATATTTCTTTTTAGCACATGTGTTACTTCAGTGGGGTGGGGCCAAGGGGGCGGGGTGGGGGGGCTGGGCTAACCAATCATAAACTTGCTCCTCCCCCCCCCAGCCCCCTTAGATAATTCTTTGTGCCACCCAAGATTTCAAAGCTGGAGCCAGGACTGTCTTAGTATTCAAAATGTTAAGCTTATAATGTTAAATTTTCGCTAATAAATGTCTTGAAAAGGGTTTTGAGTCTGGGTACAAAAGCATGGCCTCTTTTTTTGTACAGACAAGTCATGCAGGCCACCCACACTGACACCAACTTCAGCTTCACATTGGAAGTACGCGCACTGAAGCGAGTGGTTCATACCTGGATGTCTCACCCAAGTATCAAAGACATTCTGGTAAATCTACTAGACTATCTGGCTCAGTACCCAAACAGGCCCCAGAGGCAAGTGGGAGGGGTGTTTGCATGGCATGGCAGTCGACCAGCAGGGGGCAACAGCAGCAGGCATCTTACAGCTTTCCAGCTTCTACGGGCCAAGTTTCTGAGAGAAAATCCCCAACCCCAGGTGTCCCAGACCCGAGAGGTGGGGGTACTTGTATTCCAGGGATTCCGTGGTCACAAAATGAAGGAGAGGGTCCCAGGCAGAGGCTATAGGCTCAGTGGTGCCCCCCAGAGGATGATATGCACTGAGAGACTGGAGGCAGGTTCAGCTCAAAGGGGTGGTATTGTTCTAAAGATGGTGGCAAAGTTTTCGACTGTAGAACAGAAGGAGCATCAAAGGGTGCCACGTAAAAAGAATATTTGCAGTAGGACGACCGTGTCGGAGAAAAAGCTGGAGCAGCAGGTAGAAGATCAAGATATGGGGCAAGGATCAGATGGTCAGAGATCAGGGGAGGAAGTAAGACTGGATGCAAGGGAACCATTTTGTTCTGATTCAGTGCTTGAACCTCAGTGTGGACCACAGGACAAAGAGGATCCTTTGATACTTGCTACCTGGATCCCCACGAGCTCGGGATCTTCTGAGTGTGAGACTCAAGGGTCATGCTCATCTCCCACTTCGTCTACTACCCACATGAAGTTGCCAGCTGGCCCCAGACTACAAGAACCTCCATCTCGGACAAATTCTCCCTGCTCCATAACTACCACAGGAACTGTCCCCTGTCATCCAATACCCATCTGCCAGAGCCCACCTGCCAAGCAGAACCTCCCCAAGTATGCATTTCCAAGAGCATGTGGATCTGCGGCTCTGGATCAGGACAGTGCAAGTCGAGATGTTCAGATTGATGACCCTGGATGCTCAACTCTTCCAGACAATATCAAGACCACATCCTTTTACAAGGGAAAGTTTCTGCCTGCCTCTTCAGACCTCATATACACTAAAAATGAGCCCAAAGCAGACCCAGAGCAATCTACTACCCTGGAGTCCTCATTTCCATCTCTGATCTCTGAACTTACTCTAAGCCTTATTCCTCTGGTTTCCGAATCCTTGGCTCCCAGCACCTCTTCCTCAAGACTGTCCCCTTCAGAGTCCTTTCCTTCACTTGACTGGCCAATTCAAAGCTTGCAGGAAGTATCACTTTCAGGGGGGAGCGGGACAGGAGCAGCTGACCTAGTAAGCAATCAAGAGCCGCATGGCACTGCGACCACTGCTGACATTCAGTTGATCGGCAGCTTTACGACTCAGTTGGATGCGGGCGTCTCTCAAATTGGCAGTGAGGCATTGTGGGATAGCAAGCCTCCAGAAAGGCACTCAGACTGTCAGGAGAAACTCACCCAGTACCAACATTCGGATGTGGACAAGTACAGGACCCGAAATTACAGCGATACCTTTGCAAAAACACCTTTCAAGCCAAAAATCATCCGTTCCTTCGATACATACATGTTCTAAACCGGGGTGGCCAATCTTATCCGCAAAGGGCCGGTGTGTATGCGGGTTTTCACTGCAACTCCCTAGAGGACTGATTGACTGAAGAGTCCTGAAGAGTCCGGCCATTTGCGGATAAGATTGGCCACCCCTGTTCTAAACCCTATGCTATCTTCTCATGCACACAAGCACATGACTGTAGTGTAATGTAGATTAATATCCTGCATGTTAATGCCCATCATTCAACTAAACTTACATTAAAGGGATGTGTCTCCCTGCACATGTAATAATAATAATGATAATACAGTGTATTTATATAGCGCCTTTTAAAAATTCAGAAATGCACTGGTAAGTTTGACAAAATGCAAACTTCTGGGGCCAAAGCCAGGGGCTGAGTAACTCAACCTGTCCCCACTGTGGGCCAAGCGTCTTATTTCTGCTGACACTTGGCATCTGCTGGGTGATTTTGGCGTGGATGCCTCTCTTTAGACCTAAATGGCATTACTGTGGATGTCATTATTTTCCCAAAAACCAGAAGCTGTCCGACTTCGAAGGTTGAACTTCTTCTTTTTTACCTGCTTCTGCTATCTGAAAACATCCACGGCGAAGTGGTGACCAACCTTTCTCAAATGGGCAGAATCTCCCCGACACAAATTACACAAAATGTAGCAAGACAGAAAGCCAGAAGTGGCTTATTATTGTCACTGAGTGCAACAACATTTTGATAACAGCTATGAAATGTATCATTTAAAAGGACAGAGTTAATCAAAATTAAGATTTTGGAGGAATCAACTGATTCCAGAAGATCTCCGCTTTGGTCACTGCTTTGTGGTGTGTATGTACCTGCTTTCCTGATATTCCCCAGGCAGCCTTGGCTGCCCATCACCCAAAACTTAATACTTCAGTGTAATACTATATGCTATACTATAGTGATCGCAAACTGAAAGTCTTCCTATTTCATAATATCAAGCATGAGGTATAATAATTAACTTTCATGCCGATTCACCACAGCTTAAGGAACGTGGCTAAATCAGCAAAAGCAGGGCACTGTCTTCACTCGAAATGCCCCAGCTTGTTGACATCGTGCAACATGCCTGATCTTGTGCTTCTGCATGTTTTCCTGCAGCTAAATTAGTAAGAGTAACACTAAAATAGAGACGGACTTGGTTTCTGGTTTCAAACTGGCTGTGGGTTGTCCAGTGGAAAACAATGATGTATGTTATGCATCAATGCTGACTTCAGAAATGAAATGGCTTCTCATTTTGAATTGTGGCAAACAAGCAACAATGGTAGACAGTATTGCAAGGTTTGAGAAACGCCTTTGTCCCAGAGCCTGAATTTTCACACTCTACCTTGACGCAATAGAGCAATGTTGTGACACTGTCAGGAAGGGTTATTACTGACACATCTTAAAAAAAATAAAAGACAAACAAGCGACTAGAAAAAAGAGCAGAGACTTCAGCTTAGGCTTACAAGAGAACTGCTCCATTTGGCTATTCCGACATAATGTATACTCTGGACGCAATCACAATGGAAGGCACGCCTTTAATGATGTCACTGAAAACAAATACTTCTCCCACCTGTTCTCTTAAAAATTTCCCATCTATTTCAGTTTCATTCATTGCTTCCTGTCGCTAGACGTATCTGACCAGCACACGATATCTTGGCTTCCACATGTATACTATTGGGTATATTTTGAAAAACTCCTTCTCTTGCATGAAACTATAAAATGTTTCCGATTGGCCAGCATATGTGGTACTTTACAGTGAATTTGTTTTCTCACTGAACCAATACACCTCTGTTCTATGAATTCCTCATTTGCCCCTGTGCTCTCATGTGATCTGTTCTGTTTCCCGGTTATTGTAACCCTAGCTGGCTAGGCCTCGATAATTACTGAAAGTGAATGAACTCTTGAACAACAATAAAGAACAATGAACACATAAACTTGCTCTCAGTTTTATATTACTATTTTATATTACTGTCATTTTAAGAAAATGCAAGTGAGATACTATCTATTGCTATGCAGTGTGTAGTAATTATTCCAGCATTAAGGTGTTTAGATGGCTGCTTAATTTTTCTGTTTCTGATGCCAGTTGGATCAAATTTACCTGATTTAGTTGATAACATGTGAGCCCTAAAAGACTTTGAAGGTCTTCACCATATTAGAATGAAAAACTGATTTTAAAAATGTATCTGTCACAGATGTAAGTCCTGATGTAAGCTCCAACATCCTGCTTGTGTGGATATTGTCAACACAGATGACGTAATTAAAGGTAATCCTCTTAGAGCCAGGACTAGTAAACCTCCAGGATCTAGCATTAGGAGATCCACAAATGAGAGTTATTCACAATGTACAAAATGGTTTTACCTTGCTGTGGCAACAAATTATTTTTAAAATACTGCACACAAATTAATAATTTAATTGGTATGCAGCGGACGACATAGTCAATAGCTGCAAAGTAATTGTGGGAATGCATGGTCATATTGACGGAAATGCAGTGTTATTAGGTGTGGTTTGGTAGGTCTGAAGATCGTCATTAACGTACTTGTTTTGCCGGTTTGGCTGTTACCGATTTAGTTAGGAGAATCTAACCTGCGGCTGAGTAATACTAAAAGCCAAGGTCAAGAAGTTGGTTGGTACCCTGTTCTGTTGCGGGACTTTTGCTGCACAATATTGATAGTTTCAGGTGATGAACTTTCGGCACTTCATACGCGTCCTGAAGGCGGAGCGAGTCATCGAAGCCCCGCCTGCAGTCTAATAGACAGAAGAAGGGTGTCTTTCAAAAGCTTTCAGCGATCTGTGGTTCTGTAAAACGGAGAAGATTTTAAAAAGAGAAGCGCAGGAAGCTCTTTGCTGTCCCGGGTCCGATGAAACACGGCGGTAGGTCGGGGCTCACGTCCCCTGCCCTGCACCCCGCTTGGAGGAGGGAGGCATTTTAACCCGGACTCTCTTTGATAACGACAGGTGGAAAATAAGCCCGGGCTGTCCAGTAGTTTACAGACTAGCAGAGAAACGAGAGACCATCGCTTATAAAAGGAAGCACTCACTGGGTTTTTTTCGGTGTGCCTGGGGCTTGGGGGCATCTGTGCCCCGATCGCCACGCCGGAGACCGATCGACTTGTGCGCGATGAACTTTGGAGTGTCGCCCATGAGCCCGGGATCCGGGATCCGCTCTGGGATCTGCTGCTGTTGCACTTTATGTCGATAGTGACACTCGGGACACCGTGTGACTTGTCTCAGCGCTTAAAATGAACCTGACTGCAGCCGAGCGCAAATTACTAAACGGATAATAAAGGACGCAAAATATCTTTACTGCCTGTTATTTCAGTGGGGACTAATTTTATTTTAAACTGCGGTCGATCGCCTGCCCTGCGCAATGAATAGCAAGTCGAACGGGACCCGCACCCCCCAAAACAACGTCCCCGCCGGCCGGGCAGCGGACCGGCTCCCGAGGTATGTAGTTTTAAGGATAGCTACATAGCAACTGATTTGAATCTTTAGCTATCCTAAAAGTTGTATTCTCATTTATCGTTTCCAAAATCTGCAAGAATTTAAGCTGTTTTATTATTATTTTTTAATTTACATTGTATAGCCTACCTTGTTTAGTAGAGGAAACAAGGTTCAATCTCCCTCGATTGTTAGCTATAGCTAGCTAGACACCTTGCATCTTCACTAATAATAAAATAATTGCTCTGAAATATTATATTTAATATATTAGCTGCGTATTAGCGGATGTTTTAAGTAAATTGGGCAAATTATAGGCTATTGTAAATAACGCTGTATTGATATTTATGTGACGTGGATAAAGAGGATACAGTTTTTTTTTTTTTAAATGATTAATATTATTGATTTTCATTTCGTTTGTATATGAACAGATGAATGTGTATAAGTATGTAGTGGATCTAGAAAGTTAAAGTACAACAACAGCGCCTTTCTTCCCTGGTGCACCGATGTTTTTCCCTCAACTCTTTGACTTGAGATAATTCATTCATTACCGAATGGCAACTTTGTTAAATTTTGTACGAATTTTTTCTTTTGGTTTTGCAATTGTTTTAGATGGGTGTGATCGGTATTTTGCCAATTTAAAGGAAATGTATGATGTCGGTAGTTACATTGTAAAGTAAGTTTTTTTTTTTTTTTTTGGGAAATAGCTTGTTAACGCTTTGAAAGACAGTCTTGTGATACTTAGTCGTTCCGCTCATGGATGATACGTTTGGGATCAGCACCTGCGCTGGCGCTCGGGGTTAAGACCCGACGATTAGAGGAAACGGCTTTACTGGTCTCGGCGCTTTATCACGTTTTAGTACGAAGCGAAGTCTTGAAAGAGCACAAAATAATTGGTTCATTTGTTGCAATTTTAAGGCGAGAACCAAACTGAACACTGTCATCCTACGTCTGATGAACTAGGACTTTTGACTTGGATCAGAATAATCAGTTAGAAGTTTTAGAGTGATCTCACTTGCCACATCTGTATTTCTTACCTTCGTTTCACTATTTAAATTTTGCTGGCCTCGGAGTATCAAGGAATAGGCCTATTAACCATAAGATCCAGCAGTGTTTGTTTATTAGCAGGATTGCCAAATTGGTCAGCTGGCTGGCGCAAGACAAGTCTGCACACACATACACACTCATTTACATGTGTGTAACAGTTTCATTACCTTGTAAATAGTCTGTAGGGTTTGCAAACTACCCCAAAGCTTTTGATGTAGCTAATTTTAGGTTTATAATGGAATAACATAGATTTGCTGTAAGATTTCTTGTGTGAGCATGAGTCTGAAAGCGTATCACGCCAGATGAGAGTTGGCAGCCCTGTATTAGCATTTTTTTAAACGTAAAGCCGTTTGTGTAAAGTTTAGTAATATGTATTTCTTGGTATAGCTAAAGTACCTTTTCTGGAGGATTCGGTAGCGGGGATGTGACAGGAAAACCTTCTGGTTAAAGGATCTTTTACCATCACTGTGCATTTCTTTCTTTACCATGGGTTGTGTATGTTTCTCTAAAGTGGGTGATACCACTCTTGTTCCCAGCAGGGTTCTGATGTCAAGATTGAAACTGATTGTTGATTGGTCGTTTACGTGAAACCAGTTTCTCCTGTCCCGACAGAGTGGACCCATATGGCTTTGAGAGGTCCGTAGACTTCGATTATGACTCGTATGAGGAACTGATGTCTGAGTACCTGGTTGTCCTCACTAGAAGGTCCATTAAGTGGTCCAAACTTCTCCAGCGGGGCAACAAGCTACAGAAGAATGTGAAAGGTTGGTGTATACTCGAGTGTGTGGAGGATCTGTATGCACTTACATTTTCACACGCTCTTTCCCATTTAAACAGTAGTCAGAGAGAGTAATTACTCAAGGTTCCAACTCTGGAATTCATTGGTTGGATGCTAGTTTTGGTGTTTTGGTTATTTCCGCAGAAAATGCTTTAGAAGCTGATGGCCTCTTAGAGGCTGATGCTCATCAGTCTAGGGCTGTATCACAGCTGTCAGGCGTCGAAACTGCTGGACACCTGCTGTACCTCTCGGATGTGGAGGCTTGTGTTGTTTGTCCCCTTGTGTGAGAACTCATTCCAGATTACCGTAATGCTGTGTACATAAGTGCGTGTGAGAGCATTATAGAACCTGCCCAGTGCATCGTGGTCTGTTGCAATTACAGTATCCTTCAGTGTTGCGCTGTCCAACTTAGTTTCCTGTTCTTAATGTCTTAGACCTCCTCCAGCACCTTACAAACTCAGGTCAGGTCTGACGGGCAGCAAGTTGGTGTCTCCCACCGTTTGCCCTCACAGATTCTCTAAACACGCCTAGAGGCAATTCTGGCACACAGAAAACCCGTCTTTATTTTTCAGACAACTTTGTCTTAGCGATAAGAAGAAAGGTGTTAACCCACAGGGCAGGGAGTTGGCCAGAATGGCCACGCTCTAGTCACAAAATTAACAACTGTTTAATGTCTTCCTTTCCTGCAGTTTTTGTTGTTGTTTAAAGACATAATTGTGCTCTTCAGTAGCCCTGTATTTTGTATTGAGGAGTTTCATGAGCATTGCAAATAGAAATATGTCATTGTGTTATGAAACAAAATTTAAAAATGGGCCCTTCCTAGCTTAATGGCAAAACCTCGGCAATGGGCCGAGTCACATGACATGCTACAGACTCTGTGATTGGGTAGTAGTCTGTGGTCGTTGCCAAGGTGATGTGTATATTCTGTAAACTATGGACATACTATTAAATAGTTTTTCTGTGTTTCAGGTAGTGTAAGTTGTTGTGTGACTGTTCCCTTGCGGTACTGCTTCATAGGTCTTGTTTGCTGATATTTCTGGTCGTCTACGGCGCTCATAATGTCTATCCGCCACGCAGTGAAGCGGTACGTGCGCAAGGGAATTCCCAACGAGTATCGCGCCCTCACCTGGATGGCCGCCAGCGGAGCCCAGGAGAAGCTGGAGAGGAACCCAGGCTATTACCATGCTCTGCTGACTGGGGAGCATGACGCTCGGCTGGTGGAAGTTATCCGCACAGGTTACCCAGAACCTCCATTCGCCCCCCGCCCTCACCTCCATCTTTACCTCCAACATGTCTCCCTTTCTGATGATCATCTAGCTCTTGGCCATCGGTGGCCTTATGCTTATACGCTATACGGCCAAAAGTACGTGCATACACCCGTTGCTGACACAGGTTTATAATTAAGCACACAATCACGTAAGCTCCTGCAATGAACATTAGCAGCAGAGTGAGTGGCTGTACAGTAGAGGTTAGCAACAGTCCACTTTGCGCCATCATACAACGCCATCTTTCCAACAAGTCAGTTCGCCACATTACTGCCCTGCTAGAGCTGCCCTGGTCAACCGCAAGTGAGGTGATTACGAAGGTCGAAACATCTGGGGGGAAGTTCAACAACGAAGTGGTCGGCCACACAGGGTCATGGATAGGGACCTGATCACTCAACATTAATATTCA